TACAACTTAAAATCACAGCTGTAAAACATTGTAAACAGAAAATGTGAGAAGGTGAATGAATAGTACACAGTGGAGTAAAGGCAGAAATTGCCAAAGGAGAGCGGAAATTTTTTCAGATTAGTATCCAAGAACCAATAATTTTAGCAAAATGGTTCCCATCTCTTCTCTACTATGTAACTACTTCTTTAAATGCCAATAATACAGATTCTGGAACCAGAATGACTAGGTTTGAATCCACGCTCTGCCACAGCTGAGCTGCTCTGAATTTCAGTTTCCTTATCTATCCAATGAGAATAATAATAACTTTATTATAGCTAGTTGTGAAGATTAAACATTCATATATGTGAAGCAGTTAGAACACTGCCTTTAATACAGTAAATACTATGTGTATTTGCAATTACTATTACAGTGGTCCACAGTCCCTCAAACCTGATGCTAAATACCAGGAGCTCCAAAAACCAATTTTTTTCTAGCAAAAAAAAAATTAGCAGCAAAACCTGAGCTGAACAAATACAAGGCTATTTATAGTCTTTATTTATACTACTCAGTGTGAACATATATGCATTTTGATGTAAATATTTTCATGTGTTTGTATATGTTGCCCCAAACTTCACTTTGGTGTACTTATTAACTTCCTAAAACCTGAAAAGTTCTAAATTGTGAAACACATCCAGCCCCACATAGACAAGATTATGGACCTACATTACCTTTGAAGCCTGAATAATTTCTATTTCTTTAAAATGAATGGCATCTTCTTAACTAACTACAAGCAAATAAGACCCTGAACCTAGCAGTAGCTAATTTTAGGATGAAGAAAATATTTCCCAGTACAGTGAGGTGGGTCCTGCATTCCCAGAACGTTCCTTTCAAATAAAACCCAGTCATAATATTTTATATACAGGTCACAGAAGTCAGATTTTCGAACTCTAAATTTAGTGCTTGCTTAAACAAAGCCTATTCTCTTAGTTTCAATTACAAGTAGATGATTAAGGCTTTTTGGGGGACATTAATGTGTCCTGAATCATGCATACCAAATCATCACAGAACTATAGAGCTGGAACAGACCCTTGAGAACTAATCTAAACTATTTCTCCCTTCCTCCCAAACTGTTTAACATCCCTAAATTTATTCTGCCCTATGAGGCAAGAAGAACCTGCTCTAACTTGTCCTCAGACTCTGTCTATAGGAACACCCTGTAGGTGAATATGAATAAACTGGGTGGGGTCCACTGACAGACCTGGGATCTAAAAGGATGGCCTGAACCTAGCATAATAGATCTTAAATGTTTGACAAATGTCTCAGCTTATACTTTAAAAAATAACAAGAATTTCCAAATCCAGAATGAAGGAAGACTCATCTAGCACGTTAAAACAAAAACAAAACAAAACAAAACAAAACAACTATCTTAATGGACTCGATGAGTCAACAACATAGTGTGGCTGCCAAAAAAGCTACTGATTAAAAACAACTACATCAACAGTAGAACAGCATCCAGAAAGAACGAGGTAACTGCCCTCTCTGCTACAGCTAGTTGGAGCTCATCTGGACTATTATGTTCAACTCTGTGTTGAACTTTGGGAGAGACACTTTGGGAGAGACACAGAAAGACTGAAAAAGTCCAGAAGAGGGATGACCAAGGTAGTGAGGGAATCTGAAACCATGTCACATAAAGAACAGTTGAGGGAGCCGAAGGTATTTAGTCCAGACTCAGAGGGAACATGATCACTGTCCCCAAATCCCTGAAGAACTGTCATGGCACAGAGAGAGCAGACTTATTCTGCATGGCCCCAAAGGGCAGAACGAGAACCAGTCTGTGTAACTACAGAGAGAAATATTTCAGCTAAGTCCATGGAAGTATTTCCTAAAATGTAGAGCCACAGAAGAAGGTAGTGTTAATGTTCCATCTGGCCCTAAAGGTCCTTATTTTTTTCTCCTGAAGTCCCCCATTCAATCTTGCCTGCCACAATCAGACAGAGGCACGGGATCTTTTTTTTTCCTTCTTGCATCTCCACTAGAACCTTAATAGCAGAGAATAAGGGCTCCAGGTCTGTCAAATAGATGCATTAAAGGCCTGTAACTTCAAAAATCAAACACTTGTCATCAGCTTAGTCTCTTACTGCTGATATAACTATTATTCTATAGTGTCACAGCCTCTCCCTTCACCCTCCTTAAAATGTCCTACCCAGCCAACCAATCAGCCAAATGTTTTGCCAGGTCTGCGGGAGGAAAGTGACTGCTCGCTGGGCAATTAGTTTCAGTTTGCGATCAGTTGTCCCTGCAAATAAAAGAGGGCCATAACTGAGGGGCAGGCAAGAGCTCTCCGCTAGACCTTCACAAGAGAAATTCTTACTAATTCAAAGGGCAGATAGAAGACCCATCCCATCACATAACACATTATCAAACACACTCAGTCGTTAGAGGAACATTAAAATGAAACACCCTGTACAACCATCTTCCCGGATGCCAAGACTCCAACTTCACAAGCCAAACTAGGTCTCTCAAATTCAGGTAGAAGTTCTCCTTGGGTCAGAGGGATGTGTTTACTGTTTGAAGTAAACTAGAACCCATGTTCAGATAAAAAGGTCACACCTGATTATATCACTGTAAAGCTACAACTGCCTACTAATATGCTGAGAACTAGACAGAGGCAGTCCACGGTGAATTCACAGAAAAGTACAAACTATGGAAAATTTAAAACACAGAGCTTCTGAAGGTGGGCATCCTCCTAAAAGTTTTGAAACCCAGACCCCTGCAGACATAGGTATATTTTAATCCATGAAAAGCCTTGAAAAGTTTGGATTGCAAATATAATCAATCCAGCTTCACTTTATCTAAAATTCATTTGGAGTGGATGAACTCCAGCCAAAGTATTAGAGAATATAATATATATGATGGACTTGACAAGAACACATTCTTCTCTGTGCTTTTTAAAGTGAAGCGCAGAAGCAACCCAAGTGTCCATAATAAGAGATTGGTTAAATTATGATACAGTCCTACAACAAAAAATGCAACTGTAAAAAAAAATAATAAGGTAGACCTTAGGTACTAACATGGGGGGAGCCCATGATACATAGTTAAGTGTACATAGCAAGCTGCAAAAATATATAGAGAGAATTATTTCATGCTGAGTTTTTAAAAACTATTTTTAAAAATCCATGTGTATGTTCATATCCGCCCAGAAGAATGTCTGAAAAGAGATCAAACTGTTAACAGTGGTAACCTCTAGGGACTGACTGGAGCCTGGAGGCAGTAAAGGAGTGACTTTCACTTGTTCCTTTGAGGACTTCTGGTTGTTTGTAATTTTTTTTGCAAGTAATGGTTACTTTGTGATTTAAAAATAACAACACAAAAGTAATAAAAGTAAAACACATCCATTACACAGACTTATTTATCATATACTAACCATTCAGTAAGTGATCTTGCTACTTAAATGCTACTGTGTGCTTCCAATTCCAGAACACCTAATTCATCCTTTTTCTATATGCTTTACTAAAACAAATAAAAACCACCACAAGCCCCTACTAGGTTCCTCAAATGCTTACTATCCCCCCCTCCAAAAGAGCCTAGTCATATGTAATCTTCACAGCAATCCTATGAAGTGAGTACTATTATTATTTTCATTTCACAGATGAAGAAAGGTTAAGAGACCTGCCCAAGATTATAGGGTTAATAAGGAGCAGAGCTAGGATTCAAAAGTAAGAGTAGGCTCCAGAGTTCATACCCTCAACCACCATGCTTCCTGTCTCTCGGTAATAGGTCAGTCTCTACGTACAAGGCCAAAAAAGGTTACGGTCAAAATCCAGCTAGAAGAGATGCAAACTTGGCTTTTCATGAGTAAATAATCTGCATTCCTACGAATGTCAACGCCAAGCTTGAACCCAAGATTCAAGACTGTTAAGGCTCATAGTCATGTGGTGAAATTCTCTACAAACTCAGTTACAGTCCAAAGTCCATACCTGACTCCGCCGTAGATCACCGAGCCTAAGAATTAGGTCAGAGATCCATTAATGTAAGGCACATCTAGGCAAACGGTTTGGACAAGGTAGGTTTTATTTGCTCAGTTCCAGACCATTTCAGATGGAAAAGGGGAGAGCAGAGGAGCTGTCTCTGACTCTGCTTGAAGACTTCAACTAGCAGGAAGAAGAACCTTGTTTTCTACGTGGACTCAAACAGAAATTGGCATTTATCAGCATCAGCAAAAGCTAATACACTAGCTTAAGAGAGAAAAAGGGCGGGGGGAGGGGGAGGGCATCCCTGCTTAAATTGTGTATTTGTCCAAACATACTGACCTTGTAGTTAAGGGACCAGAAAAAAAAAAATGGTGCAAGGAAGGGATTTAACCTAATTTATAAATGTGCTCAACCTAGATACACACCTGTCCCAAATGACCGACTGAATCCATTTATGGCGGGGAAACACGCATTACAATGTTTCTTTTTTTTTCCCCCTTTTGGCCCCAAGTGCTCTGTCCTACTTTGTAAACAAAATGCTTTCAATATCCCTTCCACCTGTCCCATGCACTTCTGATATTTATGTAAACGAGGAGAAATGGACAGGAAACCGGAGCTTCGGGAGGAATCCCTCGCGCTCGGCTTTCGGCCCGCGGGTTGCAGGGGGCACCGTGCCGCCTCTGGAACTTCCCCCAATAACCCGGGCGGAGCGGCGGCGGCGGGAGCCGCGAAGTTTGCGCCCGCAGCGGGCGTCTGACAAAGGCCCGAAAGCCCCGAGGGGAAGGAGGCGCGATGCCTCCCGCAGCGGCTCCCTCCTCGCGAGGAAGCCCAGCCCAGGGGGCGCAAAAGACTTTCCAGGCGCGGGGGGTGGGCAGCAGGCTCGCCGGAGCCCGGACCTCCCGCTGGGGGGGGGGGGTCGGAACCTGGGGAGCCTCTGGGGCGAGAAACGACTCGTTCCAGCCGGGAGCCCAGTCCCAGAGGCCAGGCGCTGGGGCAGGGATGGGCGGCCGCTGGGAGGGTCCTGCCCGCCGAGGAGGCGCTGCCACTCACCTGGGGGAGGCGTCGTGGGGGCCTCGGTGGCAGGTGGGGTGGGCGGGACGCTGCTGCTGCTGCTGCTCCGGGGGAGAACGGGAGTCGTCGGGGTCGGCGGCGTGGTGGGCGCCGGAACGGTGGTCGCCACCGGGGTGGTCGGCGCCGGGCCAGGGGTCGTCGGGAGGGTGGTGGGCGCAGGTCTAGTCGTCGCCCGAGGGGCGGTGGGAGTGCGTTCCACCGCCGGAGGGGTGGTCGACGACCGGCCGAGCGGCGCCCGTAAGGTGGTGAGAGCGGGTCCGGCCGTCGACCGAGGAGGGGTAGTCTCCGGGGACTGGGCTGAAGAGGATGCGGTCAGGGGTCGGTGGACGGTAGTGCGCGGAGGTCCGGTCTTCGGGGCGTGGGTCGTGGGAGCCGTCGCCTTAGAGAAAGGGTGAGTGGGCTCGCCTTCCAGCCGCGGGCTCGGCGACGCGTCCACCTGCCCCGCGGCCCCGCTGCCACCGGTGACATTCCCCGCCGCGGTGGCTGAGGCGGCGGCGGCGGCGGCGGCGCAGCACAACAGGGCGAGGCCGCCCAGGCTCGGCAGGCTCCTCATGGCGCGCTCGGCTCCGCCATTCATTCATTCAGTCAGTCGGCTGGTCAGTCATCTTCTCCTCCCTGCACTCGGACCGGGGAAGCCGCCGCAGCCGTCACCGCCACCGGGCGCACCATCGCCACCTCCCTCTGACAGGCGGCCGGCCCCGCGGGCGGGCCCCAGCACGGAGGGAACGACTTGGCCGGGCGCGGACAGCCCGCCCTCTCCGATTGGCAGCCTCTCTTGAGCAATGAGAAGCCGCGCTGGCCCACGTGACCCAGTCGCTCTCCGGCCTCTTTGTAGCCTCTCCGACCAATCAGAGGGCGTCAAGGGGAGAGGGCGGTGCTAAGGCGGGAGGAGGGTGGTGCGAGCCTTGCTCCAGTAGGTCCGACTCGCGGCAGCCCGGGCTTTGTCTACCCAAGAAGCGGGGCGCGGGCCTCGGGCACCGGACGCCGCGGAGCAGACAAAGGACGCGCCCCGCGCGGCAGACACTGGGCCAAGTCGTCTGCTCCATTGAGCGGCGAGCGCGACCCGGGGCGGGGAATAGAATCGCGGGAGCTTGCCCGCCCTCTTGAACAATGGGGCGCCGGCGCCGCGCTCGGGGGCGAACTGGGCTGGAACCCCCGCGAAGGGCGAGGGCGACAGCAGCAAAGATGTAGAGTTCAGCATTGCCTCTGCTGCCCAACAGAGCTTGACCTTGGCCCTACGACGTCTGCACTGCCATTCCCATTTCAGAGATGGGGAAACTGAGGGCATTATTGAACTAAGACCCACGCCCTCCCCAGGCACCTGCTGTGGGCCTGGTTCTGTGTCGAGCAGGACAGGGTGTCTAGAGACCCATCAGTAGCGGAAGGTGCGAGCTTCCTGCGTTGGGGAGACAAGATCACACACACTTTACCCGAAACCCCGGGGAAAATAGGACCCAACTGATGAAACCTCAGCCTCCTGTCGCCTGCTCAGTGGTATAGTGGCCTGAGCGCAGTTTTCTCACTTCTAAATAGAAGACGTTACACGCCTGACCCACCCCCACTTCACCCCACCCTCCACCCACAGAGCTGTTGTGAGAATTATGTTCTAAAAGCGCTTACCCCAGTGCCTGGCCCCCAGTAAACCCGTGCTAATGCTAACTCCCGGTACTCTCAGGGTGCTGTGCTAAGACCAGCCGCACGCCACAGCCCTGCTGTGTCTCGGGAGCCGCCCGCCCATTGCAGGGATTGGGGTGGGACTGATAGCAGAACTTGACCCTGGGTGACACTAAACCCTGTGAGGTTGGAATTCTGGCGCGCGGCCTCGCCCCATCCGCCCAGGTTCCAGAGCTTGCTCAGGCGCTGCAGCCTCGGCTCAGCAGCTTTCAGAGGGAGCCAGGCGGGGCGCGTTTGTCATCTGACAGGGCTTAATCCCAGCCCCACCGCCAGCCCCATTCCTGGCCCCCGCTGTGTGTGATGCTTGCCTTTGTGCGTGGCTGCCCATTAGTCACTGGCCTCCAACCAGAAGGGCAAGATGAGATTTGCGTGTGAACCTGTGTATACGTTAATGAAAAAAAAACACAAACATTTATTTACCTGCAAGAGTATTGGGTGGGGAGCGAATATGTACGTGCTTGTGTATGAAAGCATAAACATCTTGTGACTCTGTGTGTATGAGTATTATCCATATTTGTATGAGCTTATATGGGAGCTAGTACCTATCTGTGTACGTTATGTGTATTGGTGTGTGTTTTATGTGTATTTTCTGTGGGGGGTTTTTGTTTTGTTTTGTTTTGTTTGCCTTTGTGAGTATCTATGGGTGTGTCTTGGTAGGTCCCTCTCTGTATGTAAGGGGGGGGGGATAAGAAAGGTGTGTGTTGGTGTTCTAGTTTCAGACCAATATTTAGCAAACACAAATCAAGATTGTTTTTACCTCTCTTGGGGTAAACAGGTCATGCCCCTTCCCAAAATTCTCTTGCTGTTTCTTCGTCGCCCTTAAACCCCAACCAAAATACCACGTGCTCTGAGACTTTCCAGGGTCTCTGAATGGGCATTAATCTCTCCATCCCCAATTTTCCATTGCCCTTTGTTTATTCATTGATTACAACCCTGATCTATCCATCTCTCTCTCCCCTGCCTCTTCCTAAAAGGATTAAGAATGGCTTTCAGAAATATACACAAGATGAATTGAACTGCCCACATGGCTTTATTACTTCTCACAGGCATGCATCTGACTACTATTCAAAATACTAGAACTTGTGATTTATGTCTGTCTTTCCCATTAGGCGGTTCTCTCTGTTCTCAGCCTAGCAGGGGTAATACATGTGAGTGCTAATCCCTGCTGGTTAGCTTGAATTAAGACAAAAAGAAGTCCAGTGTGCCATGGGAAGAGGCTGTGTCTTTAGAGTCAGGCAGACCTGGGTCATCACTCTGCCAGCTGGGTGACCTTGGAATAGACTTCGTGCCTCTGTGAGCCTCAGTTTTCTCATCTATAAATTAGGGCCAATAAATTCTGTCTTAATTAACTTAGCTAAGGATGGTAGGGAATGTTTTTACAGAGCCTGGCACATGGAAGGTGCTAGATCTGTGTAGGTTTGTCTTTCATTTATGCCAGTGTGACCTTTGAGTCTTGTTGGCTAGAGGATCACAGCAGAAACCCCTGTCCCGTAACTTCCCCACCAGGAGACACAGCTTGATAGCTGTCCTGCCAGATGTCCCAAAGTGGTAGCTGAAAATGCCAGGATGACCTTCAGCTGTGCTACGTCAGAGATTCTCTGGCAGTAGAAGAGCTGATGCAACTTCTTTGCCTGGAGAAAAACTAGAAGAACTTGCAGAGGTGATTCAGGCCAGCTCTGCACCTCAGACAGGGATCATCCCTGCTTATCAGTTGGGTTAATTATCCTGTAATATGTACAGAAATATTGAATTTTTTTCCAGGCAACTTAAGTGTATTAATGTTATTCACTCCACCTATAATTCTTAAATTTCTTATTCTGCCTTTATCTCTAAACTGCAAGATGACTTTTTAAAAATTTCTTAGGGATAATACTTTACTTTGTGTTTAAAAGTCAGAAACACCATATCCAACATCAGAAAAAGATATTACAATTATTTAATTTAACCATATAAAGTCATCAGAAGGGTGGCTAAGAAGACAGTATAACTACCAGTAATACTAGATCATTATCTCTTACTATGTGCTGAACATTATACTAAGTGCTATACATGAAATATTTTGTTTACTCCTAAGCAGAACCTCAGGAAGTAGGTACTATTCTTATTCTTATTTTACAGATAAGGAAACTAGGGCACAGAGAGGTTAAGCCATTTGCCCAAGGTCACTTAGTAAGGATGGCTGTCTCTACTAATTCCCTTAACAACTGTGCTATAAAGGGGAAGTACTTATAATAAAACGTTGATAAGAAAAGAGAAAATAAAAATTATAGTCGTGACTTTTTTGTGTAATAAAATGTTAACTGGCACTTTTCCCATTGCCCCAGAATTACAGCTAAGGCCCAGGGCTCTAAAGAGAGCTGTCAACCCACCCGTGACACCTGGGGCTACAGGCCTTAATGATGCCAGAGCTGGGGGGAGGGGGGGCCTTGTCCCAGTCCATGCACAGCCTGACCTTTCTCCTGTAGGCAATGCAGACACTGTAGAGGGCCCCATCTGATTCCTCTTGTGTACTCAGCACCTAGCAAATATACAAAAGTGGCTCAAAAATTGTTTATTGAGCTAAATGGAATCTCATTATAGGGCAGACACTGTTCCGGGAGTTTTGCATTCATAATGCATTTATTCCCCAAAGCTAGGGCTATCGCCCATACTTGAAAGAGGAGGAAACTGAGCCTCTGAGGGTTTAAAGGACCTGCCCAAGATCCGCCCAACTTCAAAGCCCAGGCTCTTGTCTAGACATCACAGTCCTTTAATGTGGCAACTGTGCAGTACGTAGTAGGAGGTGAATGAACACACTGAAAGAAAGAATACATACATGCAGAATTTGGCCCTCCTGCTAGAGCAGAATTCAAGAAAAGAGGGGCTTTGGGCATAAGAAAAGAAGGCATAACAATATGATAGACATGGCTCAGCAAAAGAACTTTATCTCCACATTCCAGTAAAACACAGAAACTTTCCCCTTTCTGGTTTCATTGAAACAACAGCGCTGACATGGACTATTGCTAATCCTGCCGGAGCTTAGCCTCACATCAGATGTGGCTAAATGCAAGGTCTGGCATCATCTGCAGAAAACTTGAGGATTACTGGGGCTACCATTAACAAAGTCAGCCTGGCAAAGGACAGCAACAGACAACTCGCTGGGAAATATAAGTGACTAAGAAGCATGAAATACCTGTACTGTATATTAAACTTAAGTAACCAAAGATTTGCAGATTGAGATAATGACTTATAATTTTTTAACCTATTGATTTGGCAAAGCTTTAGAGCAACTGGTAATACCTGTTGCTGTCAAGGGAGTGCCCCACACTATAGATAGGAATGTAAAGTGATAGCACCTTTGCGGGAAGCCTGAAAAACGTTTGTGCTCTTTTGACTCATTTCCACTTGTAAAGAATATATCCAAGGGAAATAAGGAATCAGATGTGAGTAAAGATGTAGGTACAAAAACATTCATCAAATGTTACTGATAATAGTGAATATTAGAAAAAAAATCTAAACAGATAATAAATGTGGATAGGTTAAATACTTTGTGCTCTATGCCCTCCTTATGTTGGAAGACTATGCATCTATAAAAAAATAATACTCGTGAAGGGGCTTCTTGGTGAAAAAATGGGTTACCACTACACTCCTGGCCCAAGTGCGGCCCAGGAGGTAGAGCTACAAGAGCTCTCATGTATAACTAGTGGCAATGCAAAATGCCAAAGCTACTTCGGAAGACTGTGGTTTCTAATAAAATTAAACATACTCACTATATGATCCAGCAATAGTGTTCCTTGGTATTTACCCAAAGGAGCTAAAAACTTAAGTGCACAACAAAACCTGCACACAGATGTTTATAGCAACTTTATTCATAATTGCCAAAACTTGGAAGCAGCCAAGATGTTCATTAGTAGGTGAGTGGATAAATAAACTGTGGCCCAATACAATATTATTCAACACTAAAAAAATTGGCTATCAGGCCATGAAAAGACAGGAAGGAATCTTAAATGCACAATACTGAGTGAAAGAGGCCAATTTGAAAAGGCTACATACTGTATGATTCCAATTATATGACATTCTGAAAAAAGGCA